TGTACCCCCCTTACCTCTCCAGAGTCCATAATGAGCAGGTTGAGAGCCACCGTTGTGATGGTCAGGTTGATGTTGGAGTTGGAGAACTGCAGATTGGGACTGGCTCCCAGGATCTTGGTCAGATCTTTGCTCACCTGCAGATATTTTTAATTACAACATCGTCATTTTAAGGTTGCTGCACAATCCAGTCTTATCTGTGAAATCTTACTTCAACTTATCTTCTATATTAAGCACAATTGACAAATCCAACCTCCTTCATGGCCAGTAAAAAATGTCCTCTTTTAACCAGCATGCATGTAGTGCTTTCTAAAATTAAGCAGTTACAAGTTTAAGTGCCCTCTGTGACTTCTTTGTGACTTCCCTGTGTTACACAATCATGTTCTATTAAGTATACAAATCTATACAATGCACTAGTATTTCATAAGTGACTACTATTGCTAATCCCATCTGAAAGCAAAATCAGGGTGTAGAGTTAGATTCCTTCAACATGAACAGTTTAATATAGCGACCAATAATCTAGATGCTGTCTTTAGTGTACAGTTTAACTGACAGAAGTTCAGTACAATTAGCTAGATGTTAAATATGTTTAAAGTTAAAACTTTTGGTCCAACACAATAAAGATTCTCTCACCTAGAGCTTTTGACCAGTCACTCTGGTCTTCCTAAGTATCAAGTTTCTTAAACATGTAACTACCAAGTACCAACACAGATGAACTTTCATGATATATAGATGCTAAATACCGGTATGTTGTTTGTTGTTCATGTGTGCAGGTAAGATAAATTTTACCTTTCTTTTCCTGTTTCCGATCTTGATGCCGACTGACTCACATACCCTACAGATGGCTTCCCTGTGGACGGACATGAACATTGGCATCACAAAGTGCCGCCCCACAAGTATTTTCTTAGATTTACTTTGTAATTATGAAAAACAGTGAACATTTCCATCTTGTCAAGCATTTTTTTACAACGTTTACTTCAAAAAGAGTATACTCATCAAAACTGAATGGAAAAGTAACAAGTTAAACTATACAGCAGTTCTACTTGTATGAACATACATGTATCAATGGTTACCTTTAACAACAACATTGTCCCAAAAATGGCAGCCACTGAATTGACATCGGGACATTACATAAACAGTGTAAAACTTCATTTAAGCAATTTAAAATAGTTAATAAACCATTACATAAAATGTCAACAAACGTTTCCAAGTGCAAATTAACATCATTGTAGATAACCATGTAAAGGGAATGAGGATTTTTAATGTATAGCACACACCTGTACTTAGTCTACCAGATACAGGCATGAAGAAGGGTTTAATAAATCATGATTTACCTGGTGACCTGTGTTCTTGTCTCAAAGTGTAACGTTCTCATGGACTGCTTGATTTCCATACAGCCCATATACTGTACATAGAGGAGGACAAAGGCTTTAGATTATACATATTATTTACTGTATACTGTACATAAACCTAAGACATTTGTTAGTATTTAATAGATAAAAATATTAAATCCGCAAAGGAGAGGTACAATCAGCTACTGATTTTACAGGGTACTTGATTGATTTCTCTTTTCTTTGCTTTGGTTGCTTCATTTTTGCATTCTTTTCTTTTCTCTGCAAATTCTAACACACAACTTGGTGCTCTCATGTCATTTTTATGTTTGGCCACACCAATTTAATTTGTTGGTTCGGATTTTTTCAGAAAAAAATATAAAGTAACAGGGCGATAAAAAAAATAGAAACAGATGTAGGCATCCTATTACAGCCCCAAATGCTACGATATGAGCCATGAAGTCAACACAAAAGGCTGGATTAAAATTTAAATAATGAATTTTAAACTTTTAATCAAACCACAGTGACTGCATTGATAGATGGAAAAACTGTAACAACTAGGAAGAAAAGGACTTTCCTCAACTGTTGGGGGCAAAATAGGAGCATTTTTGAGTTGATTCAGAACCAGAATCTTTTTTTTTTCAAATTTAGAAAAAAATGAAGAGGTGAATCCGAGAACCAACAAATTAAATTGGTGTGGCCTTTTGGAGGGAAGTACAGAGTTGGCAGGACTTTGCTGT